TATCAGTTTCACCATTTTTAAACAAATCTGGGGTCTTGAATTTGGGCATCAAAAAAATCTGGCACTAGGTACATTAGCTAGCCTTAACTTGAGACATCTTTAAATAACATAAGACATCTTGAATTCCATAACAGAAGATTTAATATCACCCAGCCTTAACGCTCTACGCATTAAGCGTAGAGCGATTTATGCACACCTTAAGTGATTTTAACATAAGTAGAAAGCAATTTCAATTAAGCAACTTTTTAACTTTTAAATTATACTATAAGCGGTAAGATAAAAGAATCAATTGGAAAGCTTTGGAAATTTAATTTCAACAGTAGTTGTTTACTTAATTATTTAAACCATATATAAAATGAAGGCTCACATAGTTTAAAAATATTTTGGAAAATTATTGTCCAATTATTTGTCCAAGAAGTTTAAACTATGGAATATAGTTGAAACCAGCTACAAAAACAAATGGATAACAATGGAAGAGCAGCAAACTTTACATCAGGTGAGCAAAATGAGTTCTATTTTAGTTTGATTAAAGTTACAAAGCAGCACATTTAGCTGTGAACTAGACATTATTGAAGTAGATAAAGAAATGTTAAAATAAAAAAAAAGTTTGAAAAATGAGGTTCTTTATTTTAGGGATACAAGTTGTTCATGGTTGCGGAGGTCTAATCTGTTTAAATACATGATTGTTGATATAAAAATACAAACCTCTATCTTATGTCTACCAAAGAACATGCTCATAACCTAGATGTTCTTCAGGGAAAGTTCCCACAGCAATCCTCTATCACATAATACTTTTATAGTTTACTTTTATAGTTATTTTCCATTTTCAATAGTAAAAATAACAAACTGTATGAATTATTTTCATATATAATGCTTAATTTTTTTTTTGTTACTTATAAATCATAATGTATATTATTAATAAATTAAACAGAAAAAGATTTCTTTTCTACTTTTCTTATATTTAATGATAATAATAATTTCATCTATTTTTAACAATGCCTTTTTTTGTCAATATATTCGCTTTTATTAAAATCAAAGTAGAAGGCTAAATAATTAAAATGATTATGATTTTCAGAATCAGCATGAAAAACGAATTAAGAAAAATTGGTTAAACTATAAAAAATCTAAAAAATGGACCCCTTCCCCCCTACTATTAGTTTATTATTTTATTATTAAAATTACATCACTGAATATATCATTTATTAAAAAATAATTGCTGCAATTTAACTTGCATTATAAAAAAAAGTTTAACTGCAAACTTTTGATGGCAGCCATTTATTTAAAATTTAGTTTTGAGTAAAAAAAATGTTTAGGAAGGATAAACGAAAAAACAATTGCGATAATAATAAGGTGATTTTTTTTTAAGAACAAATAAAATTAAAATATTAAACAGTATTTTAAACAGACCCAAGAACGAAATAGTTATTACAATGTTTATTCTTTTGCTCTTAATTAACTATTGAATAATTTTTTTGTAAATATTTTTTGATTATATTGTAGAAAATATTTTTCTTAGTAAGGTTGTATAAAATTTTATTTTTAATTAATAAAATTTTGTTGTAAATTTATAAGTTTTCGAATGCGTAATAAAATTTTTTTTATTTGTTTGAAAAAGGGAACTCTCGGAAACTAAATTTGTTCTCATTGAACTTAAAATGTTTACTGATACAACTTTTTACGCTGATCAAGAATCTTTTTTCAAAATTAAATTTGCTATTTAGGAAAAAAAGTTTTGAGTTAAAAACGTAAACTGAGTGTTGCTGGGTTGAATGAAATACGCAAATAAATAAATAAATACGAAGCGATAGCTTATTTCTTAAAAGCGGCTTTTTTTTATTAGGTCTCAAGTGACCAATAAATCTCCAAATATAAATTTTTTGTATAAATTTCAATGAACAAATTTTTTTAACTGAATTTAACTGCTTTTATAAAATGGTTCTAATAAATGAATGAAATTCGCTAGTTACTCTCTTGTTAATTTGCTTACCAGCTCACTCGTCGCACATTCTACAGCCACTAGATGTTGGTGTTTATTGCCATGTCAAAAAAGTTTGGCGCAAAGTACTTCAACAGTTTTATGCAGAGACAAAGTTTAGCAACTTATCAAAAGAATGTTTCAGTCACCTGCAAAAAAAACTTTTCAGCTCTGGTTAAGTTTTTACAGGTACCCAGATAGTCACTGGGTTTCAGAATACTGGCTTGTTTCCACTCAACATCGATAAAATCGATCAGTCAAAGTTGAAAATTTCTGATACATTTGAAACACCGAGATCTGAACCTGAGCCTTCATCATCTCAACAACCAGAATTTATGGTAGTGCCATCATCAAATCTAGCACCAGGAACTACACTACCTCACCCACTGCCCTCTGAATCTACACCAACAACATCTAGCATCAGCATGTCATATAGCATCAGCTCAAAAGTCACCAAGTTCAATTGATTTTTTTAATTGTTATTATTGGTTGTTTTTTTAATTGTTATTAATGATTGCTTTTTTGTTTTTTTTAATAAAGTTTTGTTTTAATTACACTTATAGTTGCGTATTTCATTCTCTCCCCGAATGTCAGTGTAGAATGGAATAAAAAAAATTTTAATCAAATAAAGTTTCATAACTTTACAAAAAAGTGGTTAAAATTTTATATATTTAAATACAGCTCAATACTCTCTACAACTTTAAAAAAAAAAAAGGAAAAATCTTTTTTCCGTAAAAAGTTAATAATTAAAATCCTTAACTATTTCATTTGACCCCATTTTACTCTATATTTTTAAATCTAAATTAAATTATATATTTTTTTATAAGAATAAAATTATATATTTTTATGAAATTAGTTATAAATTAAATCATATATTTAATATTGGAATTAAATTATGTTTTTATGATTCTTGCTTCAAGCTCAAAAAATCAATCATTACAATAAAATAAAAACAAAATAAATTTAAACTTATTTTTATTTGAGTTTTTTTCATTAGTAAATATTTACTAATGAAAAAATGTATTATTTAAATTTATTTTTTAAATAGCGCTTATATCAAACATAATTGTCATTCAAACTTTTATAAGAAATATTTTTACATAAACGCCATTCAAAAGTTGATGTGACTTTTTTAAAAACTAATTACTTCTTTTATCTTACCGCTTATAATTTAAAAGTTAAAAAGTTGCATAATTAAAATTGCTTTCTACTTATGTTAAAATCACTTAAGGTGTGCATAAATCGCTCTACGCTTAATGCGTAGAGCGTTAAGGCTGGGTGATATTAAATCTTCTGTTATGGAATTTAAGATGTCTTATGTTACTTCAAGATGTATTAAGTTAAGGGTTGCTAATGTACCTAGTGCCAGATTTTTTCGATACCCAAATTCAAGGCCCCAGATTTGTTTAAAAATGGTGAAACTGATATCTCTATACTAATTACTTTGTATGATATTGACTAAGTAATATAATAAAAAGAATATAATTGATTTAAACTATAAAAGTCCGTCTTGTAAAATGGTTTAAAAATTAGTGGTCCTACAATAATCTTTATTTTAATTATACCTAGCTATTGTACCTAGGGCTGCTCTCTGAAAATTAGGTTTACCTCCATAATAAATTGACACATAAATTTGATTAAAAATTATTTAACCTTAGATTGTTTCCAACAAATTTATCTAGTGTTACTTAATTGCAACACTTAAATAAACAATAAAATTGAATAATAGTTTTGAGCAAAATTGGCAAATAAGTCTACACATTAAATGGTAGTCTCAAAACAACGGTGAGAAAAAAAAATTCTGCAATAATCAAAGTTCAACAATCTACCTCGTTATCAAGCAAATTCTTTACACACATATGATCCTAGGTACAAGCAAACTATAAAGCTCTAGGTGAAAGACTTAATAGCTTCATGAAAAATGTCATTTATTAACAAATCCAAAATAAGAGGAAACATATTGAACATTGCATTTAGTACTTAACTAACAAACAATATAATATCTAGAGCTTATAGAAAAGCATTTCCTCTTGTAAAACTAATCTAAGATACCAGCGACAAAAACTTACTTTAAACCATCAAAAAGTGTTTTCCAATTATAACTTGCCATAGCAACGATCTTTGAGAATCAAAATAGGATTAAAAAAATAAATGCTTTTATACCTAATCAGCTCATAAAGAAGCACTATTTAGAACTTTATAGTTTTCAAATAAAGTGGGGAGGCCCTAGGTACACAAACTTTCCCTAATTTAATAAATGTCTTTTGCTACTTTCATGAAATAACTACTTAAAAAAAATTTTCTAAATATAAACCATGGTAAGTGCATGTTGCTGTTAACCATATTGTGCCCTTTCTAATAAGTAATAATACTGATAATGAACTTGAAATTTACTCAGCGGGTGAATCTGTTTATCATGAATTTTAAAAGACAAATTATGTATAAATGGCAACAAAACCACTCAAACTATAGTAACTAATTTAAGTCTGGAATTTTTGGCATTTAATAAATAGTTAATATGTTTTAAATAAATATGTTTAAAAATAAATATGTTTATAAATAATGTTTATAAATATGTTATTATTCAAGTTAATATAACGTTGATCTTACCCACAAGTGTTTCAAAATTTATAAATTATTTTAATAACATGCTGTGGATTAATTATTGATAAAATATTACTTGTGTTTTATAATGCTTAGTCTGGATATTATTATTTAAAATGCAGAAAACTATTTTTCACGTGCGTTTATTACATGTTGTTTTTATACGTTTTTTTACTAAGTAATCTGTTTGAGAATTTACATTCTAACAATTTTTAATTCATTTATTATATGGGAATATTTATCTTTACTTATACTTACATTTATTATATAGGAATACACTCATGCTTACTTTGATTACTATATTAGTTCACTGTAACAATTCATAATTTATGCCAAATTATTTAATTATTTTAATTTATGCCAAATTGTTTGATTATTATAGTTCTCTACTTATTTTCTAAAAAATTTTTGTCTTTTGTAGATGAATGTATGTCTAAATATGGAAATGCAAATGCGTGGAGAAATTGCTGTCGTGTGTTTGACCTACTGACCATAGCAGCTGTAAGAAAAAATCGTTATAGTCTAAAACTCTTATATATATATATATATATATATATATATATATATATATATATATATATATATATATATATATATATATATATATATATATATATTAAAAAAATTTAAACTGTAATTTAAATTTATTTAAATATGAATCGCAGAGATTTATTTTGTTGAAAATAGATTTTAATAAAAAAAACTACTTACTACTAAATGTTTTTTTAAATTGAAAACTTGATAAGTGTAATGTTTTAATAACTTTTTTTTTTCTTTGTAAAGTTAATAAACGATGAAGTTTTGTGCGTACATGGCGGTTTGTCTCCTGAAATACGTACACTAGATCAGGTAAGTTGTTTCATACTATCTTGATTGGTAATATCAGTATTAATATTTGATGTATTATGTAGATTTGTCACATTACGTTATGTCTTTTAAATATTTTTAGTTTTCATAACAATAATACCATAATAACTGTAATTCTTAGTCAAATGTTTAATTTAAGTTGTATTTTAGTATACCTGATAAACATTTTGAGAATTTTTTCAATTTAATGAATTTTTTAGATACGAACTATTGATAGAAATATGGAAATTCCTCACAAAGGAGCTTTTTGTGATATCTTTTTATTTTAGTTATAGTTTTAACAGTAATTTTTTAATATCATTTTCATTAGTAAAACATATTTTGAAGTCAAAATAAATTAAATTTAACAGTTGCTAATAGAAACAGTTGCTAATAGTTTCTTTAATAAAAGTTTACATCTTGTTTGGTCTGACCCCGAAGATGTTCAATCATGGTCAATTAGTCCACGCGGTGCAGGTTGGCTTTTTGGTAGCAAAGTGACACACGAGGTATATATAATTGTTAAATGAAAATGTTTTGATAATTTTTATCTGTATAAAAACTTAACGGTTTTAATTTAGTTTATGGCGCTTAATAACCTGGAGCTAATATGCCGTGCTCATCAGTTAGTTCAAGAAGGTTACAAGTATATGTTTGGAGAAAAACTTGTCACTGTTTGGTCGGCACCAAATTACTGTTATCGATGTGGTAATATTGCTGCAACTTTAGCTTTTACAGATGCTAGGACTAGAGAAGCCAAGTTGTTCCGAGCTGTACCTGATGAAGAACGTGTGGTTCCACCTCGTCAAACAATTCCATATTTTTTATAACTTTTTATCTATGCTATCTAATTTTATACTTAGGGTTAATGTTATCGAAATCAAATTTTGCCACTGCTTTTTGTTCCTAACCTTATGTCTCAATATTGTGTGCGCAAGCAAACTTTGTATTTTATGCAAGAATTTACTTGTATCAGTCAGATTCTACTAATAAAAACTATTGAATTGACTTACGATTTTATTTTGTTAATAAATAAAAAATTATAAGTTGAAAATTGAGCATTATTTTTACTAGATTTATTTTATCGTACGAATCGACTTGTATTATAAAGTTTTGTGGAGGATATGTAAAATATTTATTTTGAAATGCTTTTTAATGTCGTTTGTTTTTTCCAGAATCTTTAACAAAATTTTTCTTTATGTAAATTTCATTGTTAATAAATTCAGAATTTTTTTTTTTTTATTTTGGCTCGATTGAAAAAAATCTGTGTCGTAAAAATGTCAATTGTCAAATGTGTCAATTTGAATAATTTTGAATTTAGTTTTTTTTTTTTTTTTTTTTTTTGGATTAAAAATAGAACATTCAAAAAAAAACTTTTTGAATGTTTTACTTTCCATCCCCTCCTTTCCTCGTCCAGTCAAAATGTTTATAAGAATTGCTCTTTTTTAGAGGTCTTTAACTTAGAGCTTTTTTTTTATTTCAAATTTTGTTAAACCACCTTTTCCAATAGGTTGACATGAGATTGAAATCCAAAAATAATTAAAAACCGCAATTTTGTTGTTGTGGTGCTTTACCCTTATTCTAAAGTTGTAAATTTTTTGTAAAAATATTTATCTAAATAATACTAATGAATATAAGCGCCGAAATTTTTGTATTTTTCTTGATACTTGTCAAAAACTTAATTCGAATGCAAAATAAATTTTCCCTTTTTACCTTCGCATTCAAAACATTTAACTCAAATGAAAATCCAGAAAAATAAAGTGTTACAAATAGTATTTTAAATATTATCTGTTAGAAAATTGATTTATGGGTAAAGGTTACTTTCTTGCAAAACTAATAAATATACACCTAGCGATAATGTTTTTCAAATAAATTTTTTATATTTTGTTAAATATAAAGCTGTGAATTTCTTACATATTTTTTGCTCATTCACAACAAACCTAATCATTGTCTTGGTTTTATGCTTTGCTTTTTTGGCTTGCTTTTATCCTTTGCTTTGGATTTTTGTTCTGATGTAACACCGAGCGGAATTTCCTGCTTATTGAGATGGAATCTGATTATGTAAAATTTCTAAGTAAAATCTTTGCAAGCACATCATGGATATATTTTAAGTCACATAAGCCACTACAGACGAGGAGGCTACTTAATTGTGGTTATAACCCTCTCTCAACTCTATAACTCCGAAACACGAACCTTGATGAACAAGGCCGCTGCGCGGAGAAACAAGTTGAGCGTGGAACTACCATATATCACGAGGTTAAAATTATTTTATACTGACTGCATGTTTTTCCAAACATAGAAAATTAAATAAACTTTTAAATGAAACTGGAGACCATTTAACATAAAAAACGCAAACAAAACAAGTCTTATTAATTTCCTTTACTTTCTATAACAGTTTTAAAGTATTCAGCGTGCAGGTGTCTAAATTACCATGCCAACGGAGAAAACAATATAAAACACAGTTTTATATTGTTTTCTATTTATATTGTTTTATATTTTTATATTGTTATATTATGTTTATATTGTTTTATATTATGTTTATATGTATTATATTATGTTTATATTGTTTTATATTATGTTTATATTGTTTTATATTATGTATTAAATTATGTTTATACTGTTTTCTATTTATATTGTTTTATATTATATTTATATTACAAACAATCTCTTATTTTTAATATTTTTCCTTTTTCAATTTAAATTTTTTTTTCTTCACTTTTTCTTGAAATTCTATTATATTACTTGCTTGGTTATTTAATGAAGTTCATTGTTAAAAAAAAAAAAAAAAAAAAAATCACATGTATTATAAATATTTTATTATATTTGTATTTGGTTTATATTTTATAAACCAAATATAAATATAATAAATTTTTTTTTTTTTTTGTTATTTCACCTCCCCAATATAATAAAATATTTATTTAAAATATTTACAACGACAAAAATGAGGCAAGATGATTAGACTATTGTCTTCTACTTGTTCCTGTCATATATTTCACGGTAAAATGTTATTCAAATTTATATTAATAATGACGAAATATATATATATATATATATATATATATATATATATATATATATATATATATATATATATATATATATATATATATATATATATATATATATATATATATATATATATATATATATATATATACTGGACTGAATACTGGTTTTAGACAGAACATTGGTAAAATTGCCAGAGATTTTATAATAATAACGAATTAATCGTTACCAATCTAATGACTAATGAAAAACTAATAAAAATCCACGATTTTCATTAGTTGTTATACTAATGAAAATCGTGGATTTTTATAAAGAAGCTTGATTCGTAATTCTAAACAAAATAAGTAAATGATATTCTCTAGTAGGCATGGTCTAAAAAATCACTTCAACAAATTTGGGTATTGAAAAATCACTTGAACAAATTTGGGTATCAGTACAAGTTAATAATAAACGCATACTTATTGGGTGGATATATAGACCAAATGATGCTAATCTGATAAACTATGCCGCTGAATCTTTTAAATTGGCTCATAGCTTTATTAGGAAGCCATATGATGACTGTTTGATCGTTGGTGATTTTAATTAAATCTTTTAATCCAAACAATTCTAACGAGAATTTTTGAAAATTTACCAAAACAGCCTCTTTACACAACACATCACGTTCCCTACTTTCCAGATATCCCATGGTTCCCCAAAAAATATGTTGGACATATTATTTACCTTCAACAATAATTCTATTTTAAATTTGTCTCCTAATGCTATACTAGGTAATAACACTAAGGGTCACTTTAGTATTACCTGGTACCTGGAGAATCTTAGTTTCAGAACCGCTACCCGAAAATAAATCTTAATTGTTTAGTTACAACAAAGCTGATTATAATTCAATATCAAACTTTATTGTATCAATCGATTGGGCTATTATATTTCTACACAAAAATGCGGATCAAATGTTCAATATATTAATCTCCTATTATCGTACTGCTTGCGAATCCTTTATCCCCAAGATTAAAAAAACAAAATAAAGTATGATCCTTGGGTTACTCTACATATGAAAAGCTTAATCCGAGCAAAAAAATATGCTTAGCACATCAACTGCTCAACTAAATGGAAGAATAAATATCTCAAAACAAATTACAATCGTCTTAATTGTTCCGTTAAAGCGGAAATATTTAAAGCAAAAATATTACATGAAAAAGAAATTATATCAAAATCTCAGAACAAGCCAAAACTTGTTTACAAATACATTAACAACCAACTAAAAATTAAAGATAAAATTCGTTCTCACAAAAATGTTTCAGGTGAAATTACTGAAACTCTTCCCGATATACTTGAATTTCTGAACTCTCAATTCAAATCTATGTTTACTCTTGAAAGTCCCGAAAATTTTCCATTGTTAAATAAAAAAGAAGTTAAATCTAAGTGCAATTAAAATCAACTTGGATTTTTCCATTGCAGACATTATTAATGAACTTACCAATCTAAACCCTTACAAATCTTTTGGGCCTGACGGGCTGCACCCTTTAATACTTAAGATATGTGCCAAAAGCTTCGCAATTACGCTTACAAAAATCTTCTATGAATCTTTCAATTCTAGAATAGTACCAACTCTCTAGAAATTAGTCCGATCTATAAAAAAAAGGGAGACAAACTACTTCCTGAAAACTATCGCCCTATTTCACTTACCTCTGTTGCGTGCAAAATATTTGAAAAAGTTGTAAAGAATAAAATCTTGAAGCACATCAATGATAACAATCTGCTATCTACAAATCAACATGGCTTCTTTCATCATAAGTCTTGTGTAACCAATCTAATAGAGACTTTTGATATTATTTTGTCTTCCCTAGCATCGCACCAGTTTATAGATGTAATCTACCTCAACTTTGCTAAAGTTTTTGATTCCGTACCTCACACCAGACTCATGTTAAAATTAAAATCATTCGGAATAAACGGCAAACTACTACAATGGATTAATTCCTTCTTAGTAGGCAGAAAGCAACGCGTTACAATTAACAATACTAGCTCTGACTGGGTTGATGTTCGTAGTGGTGTTTCTCAAGGTTCTGTTCTCGGCCCGCTCCTCTTTGTTCTTTTTACAAACGATCTTGCCCAACTTACAGAAACTTCTGAAGTATTTGCAAACGGTACTAAACTTTTTTCTAAAACTTCATTGCAGACTATTTTTGTTGATCTGCAGGACCGTCTACGCTTAGTATACGAGTGGTCAAACACTTGGTTACTTAAACTAAACATTTCAAAATGCTGTGTTATCCATTATGGTAAAACCAATCCTATGTATAGCTACTTTTTGCAAAATAACCAAGGTATAAATGAAAGCCTAAGAAGCTCTATTAAAGAGCGCAATTTAGGAGTCATTTTTACATCTAACCTCAAGTGGAGTACACATATTCAATCAGTTGTCTCCAAATCTTTACAAATTCTTGGTATACTAAAAAAGACATTTACCATTGTTGATGAAAAAATGTCTCTCAAATTATATAAAGTGTTTATAAGACTAAACCTTGAATATTCAGTGTCTGTTTGGGCCCCGTATTTAAAAACTGACGTAGCTTTGGTTGAATCTGTTCAACGTAAAGCAACAAAATGGGCTTTAAACTTGAGAAATCTTCAATACTATGAAAAATTTAAAAGACTAAACTTACCATCACTCGATTTTCGGCGCCTACAATGCGATCTAATTCAAATTTTTAAACTAATACATCGATTTGATATAATTAATAATATGTATCAACAAAAATTTATTCACTCATTGTCACGTGGTCACCATCTTAAAATAAGACGTGAATATGTTCCAAACTGTCTTCCAAGACACAACCAATTATATAATAGATCAGCAAAATACTGCAATGAACTACCCGAGCAAGTAACTTTATACTCCACTGTACTTTCTTTTAAAATTAGATTAGATAACTGGTTGAGGATAAAGTTCGGAACGAAAAAATATTTCAATAAGGTTGTTCACAAAAAATTTTGCTTGTTTATGCTGCTTTGGGAAATTCATCAAAGTCTCACTTAAGGCATTAAACATGTGACTATCTCTTTTTGAATCATACTCATATTGAACCATGATATGAGAAAAAGTTGTGATAAATAAACATGCTTAACGCAAATTTT